ACTTAATGCACTTAAAGAAATAAGAAAAAAAAGTCTTAAATCTAAACACAAAGCTTTAAACACATATTCCATTATTTAAAGCAAAGTTACTCTGCAGCCTTATGGAATATATAACAAATATACAACATATGATCACCCCAAGCGAGTCAAGCTTTCAACGTCGCCTTCTCAATGACCAGAAAAAAAAATCATGTCAAATGAGCCATTAACTGCATAAAGCAGTTCCTCCATACTCAACCTTCTACATTTAAATTTAGGGACCAGAAAAGTATTAAGTATTATTAGCATGAACAACGCTGAGTGTTTTCACACAATTAAACATTTATATTGCAACTGAACTAATCTCTCATAAGGCTACAAGAAGAAAGTAAAATGATGTTCCGAACCTGGAACCACTTAGCGTGGCGTAGAGCAGCCAGAGCGTCAAGGCATTTTTGCCTGTCCAAGACGTCCGGTGGGTCTTTCACCATACCCGAGGTTACATCTAAAATGGATTGAATTGGCAAAATGCAGTGAGGAATGGGTGTTTGACCAGGTGAGCAAGACACTTCCTTAAAGTAGCTTCAATGTCACACATGCCATTTGAAGTTTAAACCCTTGAACAACAAATGTAAATGTTCCGTAAAAGCCATTCAATTAGGATTAGGGCATCAACCCAGTGTGAAGATCAAGAGCATATTGTACTTGAGCTCTGAGGTTATTTTCAAATACATTGCAGATGATGCAATGCGTAGTACCTCTTTATTTAAGCTAGCACTAGAAAAACAAGTATCCCCTAAAATTAAATACTGAAGGAAGGATGGTTGGACACAGTGCACCAGCACAGAGAACACAAGACAGAAGGAACACAAAAATCCACTTTAACCAAGTAGCAACATTCAAACTTCGTTTCTTGTAAATTTTAATGGTCACGTGTCATTTGGGACCTATTCTTTAAAAGAAGTCTTGAGAGTAAAACAAATCTTAAGAGTACTGGATGTTATTTGTAATGATGTTATTTGTCTCATACCTTAAAACTTGGGATTATTTTGCTTTAAAAACCTGACTAAAGGAATGTGAAATGTTCTTCAATATTACAGAGTTCCACTGTTGTCTAGTACCCTCTCTCTTATCAATAAAATTCCTCAGCCCATCGTATATGTGCTCATTAAGAATTAAATTATTAAGGATTTAAGGAAGGATCTGAAAAGGGACTGCTTTACTTAAGATTCAAAGAAAAGTAAGGAATAGTTTAAAAAACAAAGCAGAATGCTGGAAAGATACACAAAGTATAGTAGATCTTATATATTTAAATGTTCAGAAAAGGATTTAATTATCAAGCTGATTGCTTTGTTACCAAAAAGGAAGATACCACAGGCCCTTTTAGAAGTGGTGTAATCAATGAAACTGGAACCACTGAACAAGGAGGAATGGTAACCTCAGGTTACTTGAAAAATGTACAGATACAGTGCAGTGATCAGCTTCAGAAGTTCTTTGTTTTATTAATTATGAAAATGGCTATTGTGAATAGTAACAAAGTATACCAATAGCATAACTGGTGATACACCAGGTAAGATGATACGAACGCCCTCACTCAATGGCACTCATTTCACAGGGGCTGGCTGTAGGTTTATTCCAGCAAGGTACAAACTTAGGTTAAATTAGAGAATAAAATTAAAAAAAAAAATCTATATTGAGACTGCCTTCAAGGAGAAGTTTTTAGGGATGCTGCAGAAATCCAGCTCTGAAACCACCTTTTTTACACAAATGCAAAATAAGTAACAGGAAATTTCACTACACGGACAGCTAAAAAGCCATGAATTACCATGGTGGTACAACTTTGCAACATAATAATCACATTTAATCTGAAGTACTACATTCAGATCTGGGCATTTTTTATAGGCCAGTCCCACTGCTCTGCACAGGGCTAAAAGGGGGAGGCTTCCAAAATAAGAACGAAGCTGAGAAGAACTGTCTTCTCACACAGATATTAAAACTTTTGGACTATATGTTAAAGTGGAAAGATGAAAACTGCACTAACAAGGCATTTACAGAGCAAATAAAGACATTTAAAGCAGTATTTCCTTTAAAACAAACCAAACCAAACCCCAAACCTATACAAGAGAGGTGCCAGGTAAGATAACTGATGAAATGAGTACAATCTGGATATGAGAGACACGGATTACATTTAGAGAAAACCCACAGCAGGAAAAAAGTGGCAAAGTAAGGTTGAGAAATTAAAAATAAAAATATGGGTTGTTGGGCCTAATAGCCTAATCAGTCAATTATTTACATTCTTCTAAAACTAACAGGCAAATAGGTGACACTGTGCGAACTTTTAGCACAACAATCCATTACACAGTTTGAAATTCCAATTACTTATAGCTCTGAAAAAGTTCAATTTGGAAAATAATTCTACTAAAAAGAATTACAGTTTAAGTGCACAGAAGAGAATCTTATTCAGTGCTGGAAATGTTGATATAAACTGTGCTACTAACAGACATCATATGAATACCTTTGAAACTTAAACAGACTCTGAAAGTCAGAAGTTGCCAAGGCACCTATTGCACTGAGAATATATTGACTGAAAACACGTATCGAGGAAACTCTTGTAATATTTAATCTGTGGATTTTTGCATCTGTTTCACAGTTTAGGATTAACCCCTTAAAGACTACTTAACTAAATTCAGATGCTAAACCTACCACCCTGTTAGGCTAAGACAAAAATCCGAATTAATTTACAAAACACAAGCACAAATTCTTACCCTATATAACTTATTCCTGGCCTAAATATAAGGGGTTAATCTTCAGTTAGACATGCTGTGTCCACACTACCTCTTCATTAAGAGTTAACAGGTATACCAATTTCAGTAAGTTTTATTATGGGAAATACATTTTACCCAGTCAACTATTTCAAGACTAGTGTGAACACTGCTTAGTTCTAGGAGAGAGACAAAGACGAAAAGAAAAAAAAGCCAAAAAACCAAACAAAAAAAAAACCAAAACACAAAGTAACAGTAGATGCTAGGACTATGCATCCAAACCCCCTCCTTTGTAAAGCATGGCAGGTGTGACACTGAGCTTTAGAAAACCTTGGTCAAAAATCCTTCCGATGTCTTGGCAGCAACCCCTGACAGGAATCAAGTCCCTCTGCTAGAAGGCTTTGGACCGGGGCGGTTAGCTACGGATAAAAAAGACACACGCGCACGCACATATGTGTTTACAGTATGTACACTTTCCTTGCTGAAGGAAAGATTCCACAGCAGGGGTTAGTCAACTTTGAACATATCAGATTTGGTAAACTGTCAAACGCACAATACTGTAAGAAACAGTAGCTATGCGGTTGACAATTTTATTTCACTGTTTTTTTGTTTGTTTTTATTATGTAATGGGATTATTACACATCAAACATGATTCTACTCCACGTGCAAGTCTCAGTCTCATCTTTACTCCAACTGTTTCTTCCGGTAAAGCCTTCCTTATCACCTGACCTAGCTCCCCAAGCGGGCTAAAAAAAAATGGCAACTTTAAACCACTGTAAGACACAGAGCATGAGAAGCTGCAGTAAGAAAAAACACAAACACATACTGTGACTCTGCAGCAAATAAGCAGCAGTCTTCGTAATGAGGCCTTCTTTGCTGCAATAATTTGCAATCCAGTCTTCTATTTGCTCTAGTTTCAAAAGTAAACTTTTCTGCACATCCATTTTATACTGCTCAGTGTCTTGAAGAGAAATCTAACTTGATTTTGCTTGCCTAGAGGCAGTACTGCATTCAGCAGTGAATAAACTCACAATGATCATTTTAACTCAAGTGTGGGTCAGACAAAAATACAGATTTGTTTCCTTTAGGTGGCATACGTTAAGGGGTTGATGGTAGTAGTCTGAAATTTATTTTTAGTCCACATCATAGAATTTTAGGCTAGAAACCACTCAATTGAGTATTGTGGCAGGAATCAATATTGCACTTTCGCACAGTACATTGAGAAATAAACACGGCGTTTAAAATTAACTTCATTTACTGGTTGATCTAATTTAATAAGCAAACCTTTGAAGTTAAAGTGTTCTTTATGAGCTTAAGAAATACGTGAAGTCTGATTCAGCACAGACAAACCAAGAGTCATGTTGCACTTATTTTGTAAAAAAAAAAAAAACCAAAATAAAGTAGAATTGGTTGGGTGTGACAGTACATGTACAAGGCCTTTATAGCTAGGAATAATATACACTGCTCAAAAATCATATACCAAGCACTCATAAAGACTCTTCAGAAGTCATCCAAACCAGAGAATGCATCTTGAAATTTGTCTTTCTGATTAGGTAGGACGACTTTGTTCACACAGCTTGCTTACAGTGCACTGGTCACAGCTACAGAACATTCACTGATGCAATATAAAAACCTCAAGTATTTTAGAGGACGTGTAATGATGAGATGAAATAAAAAAACCTCCATGGCTTATATAAATACGTATATACACAAGCACATGTATACATACACACATACAATTTCTTTCAACCTCCATATAAGAAGAGTTATTATAGCCTCAGATTTCCTATCTGTAGGTTCACTGTCAAACACTAGAACCCTGTTTGTCATGATCTTTCAACTATAAAAATACAGGATTAAAAGGAAACAAAAGTTAATTTTATCTGACCCGTAACAGAAAGAACCAATGTATTGCAGACGTTAATCATGCTTGTTGGCTTAAAAGCTTTTGGAGCTTTGAAAGTGTTACAGAAGAGACCCTAAAGCAACACTGCTGGCACCAGATAAACCGTGGACTTCAGAAATGTAAATTGATTTACAAGTTCTACCTTCTGCTTCAGCTCAGCAAAGCCATTTCTTATTGTACTAGTCTGGGTTTGCCAGTTGGATAGAAGACTGATTGTAATACCAGGAGCCTAAATATACTCTAAAAGCACTCCAGACCAAAAAGCAACCTCAGAGAGCTGGAAAAAATCTCATTGTATTTTCAAGTTAAAAGCACTGTTATCATCAAAAGTAGTATAGAAGTGCATTTTAAGTGGTGCTGCTATTTGGAATGTGTAAGTGCTGGTAATACGGATCCACTTTAAACCCACAGACCTGTGATTTAATTTTCTAAAACCATACAATCTTTCTCTTAGGGCAAGACTGCTCTAGAAAGCCAGTTTACAGCCTCTTGCTATAAAATACTTAGTTTTCCACACAATTTTAAAAGATGGGAAAAAAGTAGTCATTTGTACCTTTTCCAGAAAGCTGAGGTTGGACATAAACTTAGAAATTTTAAAAATTAAACGCATCACATAGGCATTTATTTTAACCAACTGTCCTCTACCAAGACTGGTTGTTGAAAAACAAGGTTTCGACCAAATACATGTGCCAGCATGTTGCCTTCCAGGACCTTAATGCCATCTTAAGCAGAATAGATAAACATTAAAAAACAGGTGAGAAAGAAGTAACATCTTTAACAACTTCCCAACCTCCATCCCTCATGTTCTCCTCCCGAATGACTGGAGATGTCAGTGTGATAGTAACTTGCATTTTGGGTTCCACACATGAATTTAAAATGATTGCTGCTTCTGGGACTGCACATTTGATATCGTATTTCTCAGGACTTATTACCTAAATATCGAGAAACAGAAATTTCCATTAGCACGTGGTCAATAAAAGTATGGGTAAGAAAACTGATTTCAACATAGTCTTCTTAACAGAAAGACAGAAACGCAATACAGTTACATGAAGCAGATACCTCCGTATTCAAAGAAACCACAGTATACAGAATTAAGATATAGGTATACATAGAGTTCCATACTGTTTCCAAATCAATAATGAAAATACACAGCAGTCACCAAGTATGTAAAATAAAAAAAACTATCCAGAAAGGAAATGCATGTACAAGTCAGTTCCATAACAAGAACCTTAACAGTGTCTGAGATAAAGACAAGCCTCAGTGACAATAGTCACTGAGGTAGCTCAGTGATCAGCTGGAAAAGGTCTGCTGGATATCGTTCTCACTGGACCATAGGAGCCTTGAGAAAGCATGAAGATGCAGTGGTTGTTCTTCAAGCTTGCAGTTACAGGATGGGTACTGCTAGGTGCATTTCCATACTTGGCTGTCACAACATGCCAAGATCAAAGGGCAAGATAAACAACAGGAGAAAAACTGTAAGAGTAACTAACAAGGTGGTTATTCTGAACTGTTTCTTGCAACTAGATTTATTAATTCTAAATACTCCCAAAAGGAAGCTGTAGGCACCTGTCACCTTCTTCACAAACTAGAAGGACAAGTAACTTCTCCACAAAGCCAAACTTTTCTTGTTCAGTTATTTCAAACAAGAATCACAGAATCACAGAATGGTTTGGGTTGGAAGGGACCTTAAAGATCATCCAGTTCCAACCCCCC